TTCACCCTAAACTTAAATATACATACCAGTAGGATATATTTTGCTACTGCAGTCTTTGTGTAAGTATGTTTTACAACTGCAGTTCTTGATTAAAATGGATAATTTGAAAATCCAGGGTGGGGAGCAGGAGCATAAGGCAGGTGTCCTAGTTGTTTAACTAGAGCATGCAGTCCCTGACAGCTTCTCTGTTCTATCTGCCAGGCCACCTCTCAGGCAATTAGCCTGGGGTTCTGAAATGTCACTGTGCTTGGCAACTGTTTGTCTTTAATTATTTCATCCACTTAACATCTTTATAACAACAAATAGCCATCCTGGTATTTTAATTAGACATAATGGACAATGCTCCTTTTCTTTTCTGGTTATATTTGAAATCCAGCCTGGCAAATCTAAAAATAAAATTAAGCATCTGAAACTGGGGAAATTCTGATTCTTTGGATTAAGATTCTTGAATGCTATAGAATAAAGAGCTTTTTTAATTAAAGTAAATGTAGAAAAAGATAATTTTTGAAAAGGACAACAATCCAATAAATCTTACTGAACCTACCTGCAAAGCTCTTGTGGTGTTTGCATGTTGCCTCTACCTGAAAGCCTCTCAGCTATATAATAATTAAAATCCAGAAAAAGTGCCTTTTGGCAATAGAAAGTGGCATCTAGGTACAGTCACATGTAGCTTTGTAACTATTTTTCTCCTCAAAGTATAGTTAATAGCTGAAAACTTGAATATTTCTTCATTCAGAAATACCCAGAGGGAAACAATGACAGGTAGAAAATGGCTCTTCATTATTGTCTCAAAGAACAGTCCCAAGGGAGACAAAGCAGGTTTTAGGGAGCAAAATGTCAGTTTTATAGATTAAGATTGTTATTTGAAACAACAGAGTTTGCCGGCAGTACAGCGGGTGTAAGTGCAGTGGTGTCCCAGGCAAGGCCACCCACTGGCAGAACTGCATCCAAACTGGGAAATTTCACTAATTCAGCAGCATCAGTGCATATTGTGGCAAAGGTCTAAAAGTGTTGGACAATGCCAGGTAGAATGGACAAAGATCTAAATGTCTTGAATGTGGTCATTCAGGATGGCCAAAGGTCTCAGTGTGCGGGGCACTGTTATGTAGAGCTGGTCTCAGATGCCCAGCTGACTTTGCTTCTGTCAGCATACCCAACAAGGGCTTTGATATCTGCTGTGTATAAATGTATTGTGAAACCAAATACCATGGGGTATTAGAGAGGACAGATAGGGGTGTTGGTTCAATAACAAAGTGGGAAAATAAAAGAAAAATTAATAGAAACCTTACCTGCTGACAATTACTCAGGTGTGAATTTCAGGAGAGGAGATGCCCAAGCAGCCTGTTGGTCCTTTTGAAATGGAGTCTCAGCTTCCAGTGACCTAATTGTCCTGCTTGGATACTTGTTTTCTCACCAAAAACAGGGTATGAATTCCAAACGACAGAGCTTGCTATGTCTGATCAAGAGAGGCCAGCCTTCCTCTGTCTTGAGCAACCACAAGAGGCTTTCACAAGCAGGATGTGGAGCAGAGCAGTGTGTGTGGACATGTTCTGGCACTGTTTCATCAGTCTGAATAGGTTTGCCTTGCCCATAAAAAAGGTTGAAGCACTGATTAACATGTTGGGTTTTACTTCTGTGAATATTTATTTTCAAGTAACATGGAAGTGTTGAAGGAATCCTGCAGCATCAACTGTTATATTATTGTTGCAGGTCTGCTGCTTACATTCGAACTGGTTTTATGTTATGGTCTTTTTCTTTAGGAATGCTCATTGTAATAAAGTCCCAGATGAACAGCTGGGCCCTTCTCAATCAAAAAATGAGGCACAAGCCCAGTGCCTAAGTACATGCCTTAGAGAGTGGGGATTCTGCGCAAAGGACTTTTGGGGAGGGCTGCAAGATAGAGTAATAAGTAGAAATGTGTGCATTTCCTGAGAGTAAAATCTTGGCTGTTATTATTTGAGCAGTTTCCTTATTCCTCTGCAAGTCTGGGAATAAACGTTTATTAAGGAATTTTCTGCCAGTATCCTTTTGTATTCATTACTCTGGTTGGCAGAAGAACAGCCAGCCTGCATTTACGCCCTGACTCTTAAACATGTTGTTAGCTGTTACGTGCCTCTCTAAGCGAGGGATCAGAGGCTTAGCTGTAAATATGAGGAGGGCTCAGGATAAAGCTGCGTACACAGGCTTAACCCGAGGTCACAGCTCAGTGAGAGCGACTTTGCCGTGGGGCTTTGCTGTTCATTCAGACCTTCTCCTGCCCTCTGCTGGCAGTTCCCTGTTACGGGACAGGGATGCCCTTACGCTATTCCCGGGATAGTTACCTGGGCCAGCTTGCTGCTTGCAGTCTGCTTTGCCAGACGGGATTTGAATTCTTGTCATTAGTGAAATTCCTTGCCGCAGGTAACTGCTGTGCCCGCTGCATTTATAATGTTTTATGAATGTTATGTGAAGATGCATAAAGTACAGTCATTTTGGCCTTTGAATTCATCCCATTGTACAAGCTATCACCCAGGGAGCAGTTGTTCTGTCCTTCAAAACTGTATTCACTTTCTGAAGTAAAGTTGCTGATTTTTGGCAGGCATGCTGATTTGCAAAGTCAAGTACTTGAGTTAAGAGATGCCAGCATTGAGGATGCCTGTGCTATTTTAATGCTACTCTTGCCATCTTGTGTTTGATGCCTGTATGTATTAGAATGCAGTTTTCTTTTACTGTTTTTTTGGTGGATTGTGGTTTTTTTTTCATGTTGGTGTATTGCATATGTAATGAACAGTAATTCCATGTATTCGTAGTTTCACCTGTGACATAGCCAAGTGTGGAATGCTCTTCTCCAAAAAGCCTTCAGGTGTAGTTTTGTTTACTTTTCAGTTTCAGAAAGAAAGTGCAAGAAGCACTAATAACTTTGAACTTGGCTCAACTTTTGTGCACTGAATGAATAAGCAAAGGGACCTAAAAGGAAAAAATGTAATATATATGTAAGAAAGGCAAAATAAAGATTGTACAGACTGTTTCAATTTGGATACATTCTCGTTTCTTTAATATGTGACATTACAACCTTGATCATCTTATAGTATTTTCTGAATTGGGTTGAGATATTCAAATGCTTGAGAAAGCCAACCTGAAAAATTGTGCATCAGCTTTGGATAGCAGTGGGGTTGTGACCAAGGGTTTTAGATCCACTTTTACCAGTTGTGTTTGTGAAGCAATCAAAGTAGAGATGCGTTAGCTGTGATTTTATTGATGGGCATAATGGGATACATTTTTGCTGGCGGATTTCTGAGATAGTTACTGTAAGCCAGGAGAGTGATGAGAATCAGTGCAGGATTTTGTGAACATAGCTCATGGACATGAACTCTCTTGCTGTTCCTCTCCATCCCTCCATTTATCCCCATTCTAGTTTCTGTACTTTAGGTTCCACCGCTCCACATGAGTTACATCCTTTGCCACAGAAGACCTTAACCTGTGCCTCTGCTTGTTTCTTTCCCTTTCTGCAGCTGCCTTGTTCCCAAGCTCAGTCCTCCATCTTTGGGCTCTTGATCCATCAGAATTTCGCATCCTTCTGCTGCTTCTAGCCTGAGTTGTAGGTTTCATGTTTGTTTGACTCTGAGATCGCTGAAAAACTTTCCATTGGAGCTGTAAAATACCTATGCTGATTCACCTTCTTGCCTACTTAACTGCAGGCCCCTTCAGAGCAGTTACAAACCTTTGCCATGGCTGCTTCACTGAGCTGCCACCTCTTGTCTCCTCCTTCCTTGTCAAATCTGAAAATAAATGTCAGCCAAATGAGCAAACAAGTGGACTAGTATGGAAGTAGGATGAGTCTTTGGTAATAAATAAATAAATATGTATTTGACCCGCAAATTTAGTTGTAATTAACCATCTGGGAGCTATAATCACATTTTTCCAGGGGCCTGGCTGCCTTCAGGTAGTTGCAGTCTGTGTGTGCTGACAAGGATTAGAGATGGTCTTTGAAGGTGCTGCTTGGGGAAAAAGCAAGCTGTTATTGTAATGGGGGACAGCTGAGACCCTGCCTTTGTCACCAGGGGCCAGTGAGGCTGGCTTTCAGCCTTCCTACAGAACTGTGCATTTTATAGAAAGGCACTTCCTATGCAAAATCCTTGCTCCCACAGACAAGGATGCCTTTGGAAAGGAACCTGCAAGTGTGACTTTTCAGGAAGGTAGTTGAGGTTACAGTCTATGTAATTTTTCCATTTGTATTTATCTGATAAAATTAATAAGTGCAGTTCTCAGAGCAAAAGGAAGGGGACTTAATTAGAAGTCAGTAACTCAGTAGGGAGCCCAGATAATGACTGCAAATGATGTAAACTGTGCTGTGAGACACCATGCCTGTTTGCACTGCAGCACTGCTTAGACCTCAGGAGATCCTGGGAAGGGAGGGCACTGGAGGCCCTGTCAGCTGTTTTAAGAGGATACCATCCCCTGGATGATCTGTCAAGGTACTCATTGGTGGCCTTTTTCCTGCTGTTGCATAAGGTCCATCTTGGGTCCCTTTGATGCTTGTTCCAGGGCATGCAGGCAGGTGATCCCAGGCCACCTGGTGTGTCACACTCTGCCTTCCTGCCTCCTTAAATTGGGCTTTTCAGCTGCTCATGCTGTGCAAAGAACTGGGGTGTCTGGATCCAGGTACAAAACATCCTTAGGCAACCTCGTCCTAAACAAGTATCTTACTTTTGGATGCCAACTCCAGGAGGAAACAAAGTGTTTCCTGCCTGGGGAAGAGGGCAGGAGGGCTGCTGCTTCTGTAGCCTCATCCAGCAGTAATTGCTGGTTGTTGAAATGCTGAGCAAGCAAGGAAACTGGAGGGCTGTGGTCGGCCATAAATATAAAGGCTGGGACTCCATGTAGCTGCTTACTGCTTTTCTGAGCTACCTTTTCCCATCTAGCCAAAAACTTTAAAATGAGCTTATTAACAAGGGCACGTTAATGGCATCCTTACCGTTTTTCCCAAGGAAGTTTCTGGTTCTGAAACAAGCACAAACAGCATGCTTGTTTGTTCTGAGAAGAGGAGTCAGGCATTTCCACTGAGGAGCCGTGCTTGGAGTTCAGCAGTGGGTGGGAGGCTGTGCTCAAGAGGTACCTGAATCCCAGCTCCTTAACTTGCTTGCATACAAAAGCAAAATTGGTTTTGTTATTGGAGTTGTTAAATGCAGTAGTTATGATTCCTTTTTGATGGATTCTTTTAATTTCGTTTGGATCCTTCCAGTTTTGCTTAACAGCTTTTTAAGACTTTTTTTTTCCCTCCCTCTCTCTTCAGCTATTGATGGATTTCTAAAAACTGATGAAAGACAAAGACTGGCAAAGGAAAGAAGAGAAGAAAGGGAGAAATACCTTGGTAAGTTGGCAGGAGGTGTATCTATTATTTATATATACATTTTAATAGGCTTAACTAACATAGCATTTTTTGTGTTCTGATTTTTAAATCTTGTTGTTCAGTCTGTTTCTGGTCTTTATCACTTCTTTTAACTTAAATTATAAAAAATAATCTTTTTGCATTTCCAGTCAAATATTTAGTATTTTATATTTACAAGTTTACTTTCTTCATTGATTTGTGTGCCTTTGAATATAGGTTTATGTTCAAGATACTGCTGTTATGATCCTGGTTTGTGAAAATCCCAAATAAGCCTTGAATAATACTTAGAATATTATGTAGGATGATTTGATAAAGCAACCTCAATTTTAATCTCTTTGGTTTTAACCATACTGAAATATATAATAGAGTTGTTAAGTGCAGCATTAAAGTGTGTACTTTTCTGTAAGCTGTAAAATGGGTAATCTTTTAGGAGAACTATAAAAAACATTCTTCAGTTCCTGAATAACATAAGTAATGATTTCAGATTTTGTTTAAAACAATCAGTTAGTTTTAATCTGACCAAGGAAATATTGAGAGAATTGTAAAATATATATATAAAAAGTATAAATATATATTTAAGTGGAGTGGGTGTATACACAATTAAAATATACATATATATGTGTGTGTGTATACATATATATATATATATACACATAAATGAAATTTTCTATAGCTCTCTGTGTGTATAAAAAAGTGTTAAACAGTTAATTTCACTTTTTCGCACTGTAATGACAAGAAAGATCAATAGCACTGTTCCTAGAGATAACCTGACAATACCTAGCAGAAGGAATTGTCAGTGTTGTATGATTTTTTGTAAAATAAAAGGTAAGCATACATTTTGAGGAAATGTCAACTAAACAAGTATGGGTACCTGTCAAAAGAATTATAGGAAAATACTGTTTTTCTTGCAATAACTAAACAAGCTGTTGACCGTTTCTTTGCAAAGTCTTGGGCTTGAGACCAGTGACTTGACATTTTTCATTACCATGGGCTTGGTCAGCACGATTCCTTTTGGTGGTTCTGGTGAAAATCTGCTGCTTTTTATACTTAATCTTGACCAAACTTCTGTCTGTCTGGGACTTACTTCTCTTCCAGGTATGCTCAGTGTAGGCTATTCTCTTCTTTCCTCCTGATTATCCCTTCTTTTCTGGTTCCCAAGAAAAGTGATAGGATGATTAGATTGGAAAGGACTTGGAGTAGAAGAGATGAAAAGGAAACTGAAACCTGGAGATTTTGGGAGTGGTTGGCCCAGGGGATTTGGAAGGTGTTGTCTGCAATTTTCTCCCAGATGTCATATATGCCTCCTGGAAGCATATTTCTAAAGACCATTTCTGTCATGGGGAACTTTGGGTTTTGGTCACAGTTTGATTGTGAGAATTTTCTTTTAGAAGTTCAGAAAAAAGCAGTGTGTTCTCCCAGGGGTCAAATCTTTATGCAGTCAGCAGGTACTGTATAGCAATATTAAGTAACTTTTTTTACCCAAGCCAAAACTCACTAATCAGTGGTTTAGCATCCCTAAATTAAGCAACAAGAATTGTACGTGTGTCCATGATGACAGAATTGTTTACTTCTCTGTCCAGAATCAGTCCCAGGTTTCACCTACTTACTCAGAAGGTAATCTTAGCACAATCTCTGGACACCTCACTTTATTTTTGGCTTTTATGAACTCCAGCATGCTTTGTCACCTGCTCTACCTGATGTGGCTAGCAGTTGGAACAATTCATGCCTGGTCACTTGTTATCCACTGTCTCTGAGGTAACTTTTTCTGTTGACAAGTCTGAACTTCATGCATTCGATCCAGGTTCACTGCATCACTGACACTCCCCTCATACTGCCCTGTCTTGTGTGGGGAGGATGAGTGGATTTTCATAGGACAAAAGGGAAAGACAGCATCAACTGTATTTCTAACAAATGTAAGCTAGAAGGTGTTCTGGAAAGCAGGCTGGATTTGAGGAAGAAGTATTGTAGAAGGATTCTGTATTCAAGGGAAAGAAATGGAATGTTGGAAAAGGATCTGGGTGTTGGGAAGACTCTGGCTTTCACCCAAGGGAGTGAGGGAGTAGGGCTAAGAGGGACAGAAAGTCACAGCTGTGGTTAAAGAGCCTGGGGGCAGGAACTAAGGGGAAAAGACTGATCTAAGAAGAAGCATTTGGAATGGCTGGACAAGAGCCTAGGAGCAATGGGAGAGTTAGAAGGGTGATGATGTGCTGCAAAAGGAAACAGGAACTGAAGAAACACAGGCATAAGTGAGCAGAGGCATAAGTGAGCAGGAAGAAGGACTAGCTCTTGTATAAACGGTGTTAATTCTGGCTTTCCCTGACTTTCAAGTTCTTAGCCTAGCAATATTCCTTCTTTGATACTGGCCGTATGTGTGTTGGTGTGTGACACTACAGGCTTGTGTGTATATAGGCATGCTTACAGAACTCCTCTTTCTTGCCTTTTTATGGAATACACTTGCATGGGAAATGGATTTTTCCTCTCAATTTGACACATTAACTCCTGCTACTTGTTCTCCAATGTACACCTGAAGCAACAGTCCAGTATGTGTTGTTGCAGTCTGAGTTTCTGAAAATCAGGGTAATGTCCCATGAAGATTATTGCTCCAGTTCGAATAAACAGCTGGGCAAAACCTCAGTAACAGAAGTAATTTTTTTTCATATGAAAAGGCAGAAGTGGGTAAAGATGTAGCACCAAATCATGAGCTGAAAGATGTATTTTCAAAACTTCATAGAAAACATAGCATATGTTGTTTCCATGTGTTTATTTTAAAGGCTGCTCTGTAACAAGAAGCACAGTTTTAAAGAAGTCCCAAGGGCTTTTGCTTCAACATATACAGCTGATTTCCTTCAAAGATTACTAGGAACAGTATGTCTGAAAAAATAATTTGGCTTTAAGCTTCAGAGGGACTTGAAACATTAAAAAGTTGCTAAATTGTTCTGTGCACTGTTTTTTACATAGATAAGGGGTACAAACTGGCAGCTTGTGTAGAAGGGCTTCCCTATTTATGTATTGAACAAATTGCTTAGATTTACTAATTATTTCAGCACTTCTGTGCACTATATTTTTAATCTCAGTTGACTAAAACCCTGTGTACTTGTATTTGTTGTTTTACACTATTGTTTCATGTTACCAAATAATTTTAAAATAGAAGAAAATTTGCATGATGTGAAATGCACCTTTTTCTCTGCAAAGCTGCTAGGGAGCAGCAGATACTGGAGAAGGAGAGAAGAGCAAAACTTCAGTATGAAAAGCAAATGGAGGAGCGATGGAGAAGACTGGAGGAGCAGAGGCAGAGAGAGGAGCAGAAGAGAGCAGCTGTTGAAGAAAAACGGAGACAAAAGCTTAAAGAGGAGGAGGTGAGGTCCACTGGGAAATGTATGGCAGCCCTGAACATGGCTGAATATTGACATGCATTAAACAATGGGGGGTGGGAGCAGGACTGGAGACATGTGAGCAATTACTGCAGGAGCTGCAAAGCACATCACCACAGCTGAAAGTAGTCTACCACTGCACATCAAAAACACTTTCCGAAACAATTTTTTAACATTTTTGTCTGATCTCCCGGAATAGTCATCTACTGTTGCTAACATATCTGGGACTCTGATTGTCAAATATAAAGTATCACCTTTCTGAAAGGAGGTCTTTAAAGATGAGTGTTTCCAAAAAGGGAAAGATTCTTCTTACTGTTCTGTTTACTGTCCATGAGGAAGAAATCATGTGTTGTTCCATTTTTCCTCAGTGACAGAAACTCAGAAATTTGTACTTAAAGCAGTGAAGCATCTAGGCTGTTTTCAAATTCTAACATGAAACAGAATCACATATTTTTAAGCATCTTCATGCCCTTCCTCTCTTCTAGGCTCCCTGCTGAGATCATTTAAGGTTCTTTTTTTGCTCTAGTGAGTCCAATTTCTGGTACAGCTCTCTGAATGCAGGGTGTATGTGTATATCTCTGCATGACATTATGTGGAGAACACTAGCACTGCTACCCGCAACTGATAAAGAATTAATGATTTTTGGAAAAGGGGGCAGTGGTTTAAAAAAAAAAAAAAAAAAAGCCAAAAGGAAATATTTCCTCAATTCCTAGATAAAAAAAAGCTTTAGAAATCCAGAGTTCTTAGCCTCCATTTTTCTGCCCCCTGTCCTTCCATCAAAATAACTGCAAAACAGATAAAACACTTCTGCATGATTTCACAGTAACATACAGCTGTTCACGGAATTTTTTGTTTGATTTTTCACTTTACTTGAAGAGAACATTGTATCCTGTCATTTGTTTTTCAACTTTAGCATATTCATTGTGACTTCTATGTAATGGCTTAGAATTAATTTAAAAATATTTTGTAATGTGTTTTGTTTCAAATTCTTTTAAGAAAAATGGGAAAAAGCTGAAACAAAGGGTAGGAGGTCTCTCTCTTGTGGTAACAGCATTGAAGTCATGTGCTCCTTCCCCAGCATTTCCTGCTGTAATAACCTCCTGCAGCTAAGCAAAGTCAATTCCCTTTATGAGGGTTGTAAGGGGAAGGGGCAAGTACAAAAGCATCCAAAACCCTGTCCTCAAAATTTTCAGCAGAGCAGGGCAGAAAGGCAGAGAGGTGTCGGAAGAGCGAGTATCCGCCAGCTCCCCCTGCATCCAAGGTTTGCCTTTGCTGAAGAAATGAGAGCAGAGTTGTTGGATGTGAGAGGCAGTGACAGGTCAGACCCAAGGTGTCTGTTTAGTGGGGCCGACCCCATCTCCTGCAGTGGCCTCCTGTACTTCCCCAGAGATGGACATGAGAGGCTGAGCACACTGTGATGTTTTCCCAAGCACAGCAGGCCTGATCCAGCTCCCCAAGACACTGCACGTGTGAGGGCAGGCTTCTGTAATGGCGAGGGAGAGGCTGATTCCCAGTGTTTGGTTGTAATGTGAGTGCCATTCCTAGCTCTGCTCACCAGGACAGTCCTTTATGCTTAGTGTCCAAAGTCCTGTTTGGAAGCTAAAGCAGGCCTGGGTCTGGATTCTTTCCCTTTCCTTTCCACCCTTCTTGTCCCCCAGGCTGAGGAGCCTGAGAGAAGGCTGTGTGGGCAGGAGGACAGGAGAGGATGCTTGCTTGTTTGGGGATGGATTAAAGCTGTGAGAGGAAAGTCCAGGAGCCTCTGAAGGAGAAGAGGGTGCACAGAGGCATGATCTGTAGAACAGGGGAGAGTGAGAGGAGAAGGAAAATGGGAATAGGAGGCATCATCACCTCCTAGCTTCCCTTCACAGTTTCTTGTTCCTCATTTATCAAAATCTGTTTGAATTCTACTAAAGGATTTGCCAGTTTAGTCCCACCTTCCCTGGCCCTTACTGTTGTGATGAACTCCTCAAACTCTGTATGCATAGTAACAGTGGAAGTCTGAGTAAGGATGGTGATGAACCTGCAGCTCCCTGGGCATTGTGAGTTACTCACTGCTTGTGAGTAATTTTGGCCATTTAAGACTGTCTTTACTGGAAGAGCTTTGTGCATGTGTTTCCCCGAGCTGGTGGGGGTGTGTGTGCCCCTGCCAGTGAGCCAGTGTGTACTGTGCCATCTTCTCAGTGTTTCTCCTTTTAAGACCAGTTTACACTGGCTGAGTACTGGAGTACCCATTTTACTTGCTCATCAGCTGTCTGAAATGACAAGTGGAGAGATTTTCTTCCTTGCTCTCTGCCTTACTGGTTGTCCTGTGTGGTTTCCCTGAATTATTTTTCCTTGTTTTTTAACAGAGCAGAAAGTAGTGTACGTAGGAGGAGGTCATTTAAATATTTTTCTACAAAATATTGTTGTTGCATTTGAAAGAGTGTGAGAGGAATATATCTTAACAAATTGGTGGGGACTTGTTGACTCCTATATTAGAGTATCTTCTGCTTGACCATTTTGCTTGCAAATACCTTCTTAAAGAGGTAGCTAAATTTTGATTTATTTGGGTTAATTTTTCCCGCTCTACAATGCCAGTTAAGAGATGGTAGTTTTAAGGTCTCTCTTGGTAGGAATCAAGGTATTCTGTCAGAATTCTTTGGGGCAGCTGGAGGTTGTTGCAGAGCACAGTGAAAGTGTCAGATTCTTCAGAAGGAACTGAATAAATAATATTTAGAAATTATTCTGTCTACATTGACTACATCTTTCTTATCTACAGAGGTCTTTCAGTATCACTGCCCTTCCCTTTGTATTACTGCCCACTTCTTTTAGTAAAAGCAGCCTTGAGGAAAGCAGTGTGTTGTTTTACAGAAGTGATTTTAAAATTTCTTTTAACAGGGAACTGGACAAAAGTAAAGCTAGTCCTTTTTCAGTTAATTTTTTTTTCCTTTGCCTGTCTTGAACTTCCATGTAAATTTGGAAATACCTTGTAAATAGATGTCTAGCTGTACACAGGTTATTGGGAAGAGATTGTTTTGGTGCATGTGCACTATTTGTTACATTTGTAAAAAGTATCTGCTTAGACGCAAGAGTGAAAAACTCTCAAGATGTTTTGGCTTTAATTATTTCCTGTACTCCATTCCAAAGATGAAGCCAACTGATAATCTCAGGAAACAGTGAGCTACTTACATACAGTGCTATATATGAAGTGAGGAGGAAGAGATGGTTTGGGGCTCTTTCACATGTTTGTCTTGCAGATATAAGGAGATTGATTTAGAATTATTTGCACAAATTATTTTAAGTCATAATTCTTGAAGCATTATTTTTTTCCTAGTCACATCTGTGTTATATTTTACACAGAGGAAAGGAAAGAACTTACTTGTGAGGAAACAAGTAATTTGACTAAGTTTTGAGGGGTGGGTTTTTGTTTGTTTTTAATTCAGACGATACAAGTGTTTATTTTATTGTCAGGCTAAGGAAAACTTGCATGAATAACTGGATTTTGAAAAGTAATGTGTATTTTAGATGTTAAAAGTAGATGGCTTTGCCTTGTGATTTTATTCATTCTTAGTTTAACCTACATGCAGTGCTTGTGCATTATAAGGTTTTTTTGTGCAAAAACTCCCTATATCTTGAGAGCATACATTATTTCCTCTATCTGTAGCTGTTAGAGTTTCCAAATGAGATCACATGCATAGTCTGATATGTTTTCAAGAAGGTGTTTCACCTATAACATAGACTGGAAGGGTTTTCCGCATTGTTTGCTGATGAAGGAAAGCTTTGTCTTGTGGTTTAGTTTTCATCGTGGAACAAATTATTAATGTATGAGTTGCTTATGCTATGCTTGCTAAAGTTTTATTATTTTTTTGCCTTTTTAGTTTTGTGCCAACTTAAAATCTTTTTTAATAACTATCCTTTCTTTGTGGAAAGCAGCCTTCATATTGTTCTTTATCTAACCTATATCTGCAGAGGTTTTGTAGTTTTAATAATTATATTCTATAGTGCTCTAATGAAAGGCTCTTTGCAAATGAAAATGAATGATCCTCTCCAAATAATGTAACTGAAGATTTCAACCTCAGATTGTAGGTAGCATGGGCTTTCAAATGCATCTGAAATGTCATTTAATTTCTTTAATCTATTTCAGCATGAATTTTATTCTTGAAACAATATTTTGATAGTAGGTGGTGTAAGTGTATTCTGTGTTTTGCAAACTATAGAATATTGCTTACTCCAAGCATTGTTTAAAAACCCCAAACAAGACAGCAAACAGACATGACTGCTTTAATCTTACCTTTTTGATTAATGAATAACAATATTCATTGGAAATGGAAAAATGGGAAAAAAATGGTTCCGGGTAAGAGTATGATTTAATGAGAAAGAAGTGGGAGGGTAATTTTCCTTGGTAAAGTGTGGGTAGAAAGATAGATTGGGACAAGCTGCATAGTAGAAGAAAGTGGTGAAAAGAGGCACACTGCAGAGAGGAGCTGGTGATGAAATACGTGAGGTTTGGAAAAACAAAAGGGGCTCAGACAGAATTAAGTTAGAGAGGTGGGGAGCTAAAAGTAAAAAAGCACAAACTTGCAAGCAAAGCCTACACACACAGGATTTAAATGTCAAACTTGTATCATCAAGTAGTAAGAGAAGAAAGACTGTAGGAAACTAAAGCAGAGAGGACTGACTTCAGATTCCAGAGTGTGGAAAAAGATTGTTTCCTTTTCACAGGCAGGGTGTGTGTAAGAAGCAATTGGGATATTCAGGACTGTGGGGGTTTCTGTGCTCTTGCAGAAGAGGCTCCCCTTGAGCCTTGTGATGCTTCCTTCATTTGCTCTGTAGGGAGAAGGAAAGAGGCAGAGCTCTCATTTTCATGCCTGCCTGGACACTGATGGCACTGAGCAGACAGAGGGGGGGATGAAGGGGGGAGGGGGCAGGGGAGCAGCTGCCTGCTCTCAGTGGTCTTTGAATGATGTTACCTGATAGACCATGAGCTCACGACACGACTGAAAGATCGTCTGCCTGGGCACAGCAGCAGAAATTGTGACAGCAGGGTGGGTCACCTGGCCAAAAGGTAACAGGGGCAGGAGAGCTGGGAATGATAGAGGATGCAAGAATTTATTTTTTCACTCTTTGTATAGAGAGTAATAGCATATTTTAGAGTGCAAGTAATTTGTAATAAAATTAGAAGAAAGCTTAAAGACTTAAAAAGGTAGTGCCTTGCTGTTGACACTGTTGGATAACTGGTGGCAGGGTTGGGTGAGGTGGAAAAAATGATCTCAGAAACAAATTACTGCAAGTCATGGTAGTAGAAGAGATACTTCAAAGATGTGGGAGAGGCAGAAGTATATTTTAGATGTCCTTTCATCATCTTCTGGTTATCTGGCAATGTAAAAAGTCTATGACCAGGGTCAGAAACCCAGGAAGATACGACAAAGTTTGCAGGTACATGTATAAAAATATGGAGATTACTGGAGGTGCCTGATTTTAGGGTCTGATGTGCTGAAGGAGCTTCATCAGAGATGACTGGGCCACCACCAGTGCAGAGCCTGAAGGAAACACACGTATAAACAAAGAGTGAAATTTTTTTGTAAAATAGCTCAGGAAAGCCAGACCAAAGGCATTAATCAGTGAGAGAAAGTAATCTGGCCAAGAGATGTATGAAGGGTTTTCACAATTTATCTGAGCTGCCAAAAGATATTGGAGATAGAGCAGGGGATTGATAAAAATCAAAATGGGTATGATGTAATCACATCCTGCAGAAGCCTGCAGGATCCAGTTTGAAGTGGATAAGAGTAGGAGTTTTATGCTAGACCAAAGGGACATAGCAAAGGTAATAAGGAATAGTACCAAAAATACTAATAGGATCAAAGGGCTAAAACTAGCTGGGGCAGGAGCTGGAGGCAGCAAGAGTAGACTTATCTTTCATAGTAGGGGCGGGGCTGCTGAAATGTGAGGGTGAGGAGGTTGCCAGATGCGAATGAGGTACTGGGAGGAGGAAAGGAAGAGGCTGTTAGATGATGGCATTGTGGGTGGGGAAGAATCACATTTTATCTGCTTGAAAGGAAGAAAAGAAAAAGTGCAGGGATCATTGCCACAATAAATCACTGAGAAACTAGCATTGGGAGGAGGTGGGAATGAAACTCAGTGAAGGTCTTTGAGAGTCAAGAGGTGATGGAGAGGGAATAAAGTGACCATAATTAGCTGTAAGTTAAAGGTAGAGCAAGATTTGGGGAGAGAAGAAATTAATTTTATTCTTTCCCCTGTGAAAATCCTAACTCATGGAGACCATGGGGGTGGCAGGGGGGAAAAAAGTAAATCTTGGGGGCAGTATGAGGTAGGTATGCACTAAAATAAATACACAGAGAAGAAAAAAAATCAGAAGGTCTTAAATGCCTAGACTTAAGGAATATAGATGAAAGAAGGGAGTTTTTGTAAAAATAAATAAATAAGTAGGGCATCCTGCAAAGTAACCTACTTTGGCTTTGAAGTGATCATTTATCTGAGTGACTAGGTGGAGCCACTGGCATTGCAGCAATTTAACTGTGCTCAGAAAGGGATGGGAAAAAATTCTGATGTCTGCATAGACAAGAAGGAGTTAATGCTTGTCGAGCATTATTCTTATACAAATTAAGTCCAGTGCACAGCAGCAGCCTCACCAGCAGGAGCAGATGCTAGGCAGTGATGCAACCTGTGTTATTTACTTAGGCCTCTGTAGTGACCTCAGTGGCTTGCAGACAAAGGATACACATATCTGGAGGTAGGTAGCATGCTGATACCTTCTTTATTCAGTTCTTTTTCTTTTATTGCGAGCCAGCTCCTGTGAGCATCTTGTGTGGAGCAACAGGGGAACTGTGTATTTTTAGCGTGGCTTCAGAAGGCGGGGGAAGGAAGCCCCCAAAGAACTGATTGGGATTTGTGTCTGGGCTTGTACCAAAATTACCAGGAACGTTTAGAAGCCATGATGCGCCGGTCCCTCGAACGCAGCCAGCAGCTGGAACAGAAGCAGAAGCGATGGTCGTGGGGAGGAGCACTGGCTGCAGGCTCAGGAGGCAGAGATGGTAAGTGAAACAGGCTGCCTGCATTGCAGATCTGGAAGTGCAAAATGCATGAGATTGTGGAGATAGTAAGTATGATGGGTTTATAGTCAGGGTGGTACCGCTGCCTTGGGGCGTGAATAAGTGCTTTGTAATTGCTTGCCGGGCTTCCTCTCCCTAATACCTTCTGTGGAGACAGGTTCCTCCTAACTTTAGGAATGCAGATCATTTTAATAGAGTAACCAGAATCAGTTTGGAGGATGCTAAAGGCTAAAATTAAAATTGATGCATTGTCTCCATTAATAGTTTCTTCCACATTGTCTTCCCGTGCACACAGTTAGCAAATTTAATATGCACCAAAGGACTGAGTGCTGTCTAGGGCTTGCAAATGATGTTTTTGTTTGGTACTTCTAAAAACCTGGTAAGAATTTCTAGATGACTATGCAGTATGTGCAGTTTAAAATAGTTTGGGTTTTTTCCCCACGTACATTCTGTTACTGCTATTTTTGCTTTGGCTTCAGAGGAACTTCTTTTTATTACATAATGAGTCATGTGCTGCTTTTATATTTCAGAAAGGTGCGTGTTTTCTCTTTTAAATAATATAATTTATTTGAATTTGTCAGGTTTGAATAAAATGATGTTATAGGGAAAAACATCCATGTTTAGGTGTTGATGGAATGTAACACTCTTTTGTGAACAGTGTGTAAGTATACTTAACTTTAAAAAGACAAATTGTTTCATATCATAGTTTTCATGATAAGTCATTAAAAAAGCCAGGAAATTATAATAATGGAAGAAATCTCTTATACTTTGAGAAAGAAACCAGTTTTCTTTGTGATGCAGTTTGTGCTTAATTCCAGCTCCCCCGACTTATTCAGTAATTTCTTTCACCTCTTTTTGCTCTGATTTCTCTGCTGTGTAGGTGAATCAGAAAATACCCCACCCCCTGTTCTAGGTTTAGCTGCCAACACCCTTCCTCCAGACCCTGTGACCTCTACTGCTCCTGCTGATTCCTTCAATGGTATTTCAGAGAATCACAGTACCATCGTGTCTCGTTTATAACTGTTCTAATCACTGTAATCCATCCACTGATCTTGTTCTTCTTAACCACTGTTTTCTTATCATTTCAGTCTGGTATTCTACAGCATTACTCTTAGTGATGTAGACCAGTGTCTTTTAATTTCCTTTTAATTTTGCCATGGTGGAGCAGTGCATGCCTCACATTCCAGCACAGTAGAGGCATTTCATGGTTTTCTCAGTAACTGTAGACTTCTACTGCTCAGATTCTCTTTTTTTTTTAATTCTGTGGGTGCTCTGTGTGTGTATGTAATTACATGTATATTTGACAGTTCTAATGGATGTGCACAGGTGCTGTTGGCAAAAATTTCAGTTGCACAGTAAGAAAATGTGTTATGAAGACCATGTTTCATCAAAACAGCCCTCTTTTTCCATCTCAAGGGCCTTCTTCTGCAATATTTTGAAAACAAGCAAATTTGGTACAAACAGCCGTGTTATGTTTTCAGCTTCCTAGAACAAATTTTGGCCAAGCTGGAATTTGTAACAAACTCAAGTGGTTGACTTTATTTGAGCAAGCATGTTTTATATTGTTCAGGTTTAGTTTGTTCTTGTAGGTTTGTTTTGGGATTTTTGGGGGGTTTTTTTTTTTTTTTTTTTTTTGTTTTTTTTTTTAATTTTTATTCCCATAAAAGGGCTCTGAAGTAGATGAGTTCTCCAAAATAACAAATGGATTGCATATAGGATTTCAAATTGAAAATGTGATTTGATTTGATTGCAAATGTATTTGGTGTTTTGAAAAGAAAACACAGCCTGTGCTTTTGAGAAGTAGATTCCTTCTCTCCCCCAAAGGAGGAGTTAAGCTTGGCTATTACTCCTACAGAATTCACAGTAAATATTGTTCTGCCTATGATCTCACAGAACTAATATTTCTGTGCAAACAGATTCAATTTTTTTACTGATTGTTGTTCATGTGCAAAGGTATTTGCCTGTGCAACTGATGTTTTGCAGCATACCAGCATTATATCTGCTTTTTTAAAGAAGGAAATGTAGTGAATTGCATTGTTTACTGTAGTAGATGGAGGCAAATCTTAGAAACCACACTAAGGCAATGATTTGATGGACATAATAGGGACGGCAGTAACTTAGGAGGTGCAGAATTAGGGTCACATACGTGTCTAGCTGAAAATACTTTTGGTTTTGAAAGAAGTAAAATTCAAATGTAGGGGACAAAGCATCTGTGCTTTTAGCTTCTGAGTATCATACAGTGATCATCAGGTACTAGTACTCTGTACTGATACTTGAGTAAGATTTCTCTTTCATTCAGCTGAATGAATCTCAAAGTAGGAAATGGATATTATGCTCAAGCAGATTTTATTGAATAGTATTTCAGAAGGAAAATGTACCAAAAAAAAAAAAAAGGTCTTTATTTTTTTTCTCTTTTTTAGTTCTTCTCAAGCACAAAAAGATAAAGCCAAATGGCTGATGCTAGCTCAGTCGTTAAAACAGTGAGGTCTCATATAGATGCACAAATGTTGGTTATGTCATTTTATTATAAGAGTAATGTCTGATGTGAACTTCAGCTCTTCCAGACTGAAGGTAGAGGGGAGGGGGAATGAGGATGTGTTTGGAGTTGCCATATACGCAATTTGTTTTCGTTGGGTAACTTTATGCTTGTGCTGGTATATAATTATCAGTGTCAGTATAAAAAATAGGCTGTTGGGAAACTGGAATGTTAAATTCACAAGCAGAAAAGTTGCATGCCAAAGCATGTGTCATAGGGTGCTGGTCCTCAGTGGTCAGAAAGAGCTCATCTCATGCCAGTTCAGTGCTGTGATCAGTGCAAGGGCCACGAGTACAGATGCAAGGTTAATTTTTGGAGTTTATCAACACTGTGGTGTGAATACAAATATCTTCAATGCGTTTCTCTGCAGCATGTGACAAACTTTCAGCTTCTACAATGAATCTGCCAAAGCAAATGGAGTCGCCGATCAGTAAACGCCTCTCGTCCTCCACAGCGGCCATAACGCATTCCCCCGACAGAGGCAAGTGAACATGCTGGTCTCCTGCCAGCATAAACTCCTTCTGCTTAAAGCACTTCTGGTCCATAGAGCTTTGGGGTTTGCTTATGTCTGTTATTCAAAGGAACTCAAACATCTGAGAGATTCTGTATTATTAACATGGTTCTGCAGCCTGTCCCAAGGCTGTGCTGCCATGCTGGAGATCGTAGTCCAGCAACAAATGCCATGGGCCTTTTACTGATGCTTTTCCAAATTCTGATACTCCAGCAAACCTGGTTTTAAGTACAGGCTGCAACTGCAGCAATTTCCTATAACTGTACTGCTTGTGACCTCCTATCAAAATAAGGAAAAAAAAGCAAAAGCAAAGGTGTGGCCTGGCAGTAGATATTGGTTGTTGCATATGTAGGGATATGTCTGATGAGCCACCTGGGAGACTTCAATCTGGTGACCAGAGTTTAGAGCCCGTTAATTTCTTATGAAACTCTGATCCTCAAGTGACTCCACAAAAGATGATCATCCTGTAGGATTAGTGGTTGCTAAACACTACAAAGAGCACTGAAGGGTTTATCTCACTGTGAACTCTTTGGATTTTTTTAGGTTTATTTTGTGTTTGCTTATTTCTTTACACCCCATTTTTTAAAAGTCTAATGGGAAAAAATATATTTACTGAAATAAATTATGAAGGCTTGTTGCTAGAATGAAAAAGAGAAGGTAAATTTATTTTAATTTTTTAATTGCTTAAGCTCACCAGAAGCTTTGAGGTTATTATGACAGATGGCTATATATACATGTAATAGGAACATCTATATATATATATATATATCTTATATAGTTGACACTTACATTTATGGAGCAGTAAGTAATGCAGGCATATTGTATAAATAAGACTTACGTAACATGTGAGATGGCAGATTTCAAATGCAGTCCCAGCACAGGTGGCACATTAGTGAGCAGCTGCGCTGATCTACCAAGTGTTTTACCTTTCCTGCTGGGGAAGAAGATAAACTTTTTTCTTGCTGAGTCACGAAAGCAACCATTTTGCAGAATGGAACATGCCTCTGAGTAAAAACAAAATACAACATGATCTTAACCTTACTGTGTGTAGTGTATAAGTGGGAAATTTAAAACAATGGAGAAATTAGAAGGTTTTTTTCAGAGGGAATGAAAATTATCTTCAAGTATTTTAAATCTCACAAAGTTCAAGAATTTTTTGTTATTTCATTTAATCATTTCATCATTTTGTTTCAGTTATTTTAATGTAACATTGTTTTATTTCTTTGCATTTTAAATTTTATTATATTTGCTCCCATCCTTCAGCTCACCGCATGCATCTTAGTCCCATGGAAAACTTTATTGTTTCTCGACTGCTGACTCCCACACAGTCATCTTTAGCCAGAAGCAGAAGTACATTAATGCTTTCTGAGCAGTACAATACTCCAGGTAAAAATGTGACTTCCTCACTTTGAAACCATTGAGGTATATTTTCAGCTGCATTTATGTAGCTCTGGCAGAAATGGAGTACTATGAAACAAATGGCAATTTACAGGACAGTACAAAATCAATGATGAACTAAGTTGTTTCAGATAACAGTGTATTTAAAATCTTTGAAAAGCACATTATCTTTTCTGTGCTATTCTGAATATCTTTTTTAGAAAAAAATCATTAAAACTGCAAACTATAAAAAAAAATTAATATATTCATTTAAAAAATAGGTTTTTAGACGAGGATATGACAACTCTTGGAGGCTCTGATTGATTTATTAACATCAGCCTTGTCATACCCAAATAGCATGTAGAACAAAACTCCCAGTGCACCACTGAGACTTAATTATTTTTACCAGGGTTCCAGTTTCTATCTATTAAGTATCTTTTTGTCTTTAACTGTGTGACTGTGTCTATGTGACGCCTATATATATGTATAGGTGTAAATACACATACGGAAAACCAGACTATTGATAGGAAGGAAGGTGTCAGTTCCAGAAATTATTGATCTTTTGATAGTTACCATTCCTATGTGTAAAGTGTAGACTAATAAAACCATTATTTTGCAAACATCTACAAAAATAATGTTTCCAGTCCTGCTAATACTTGGGCAAGTACCTGGCTTTGAGTGGTTTCTTATGGTAAAGCCATACTTGGTGATAGCATTGGCTGAAACAAGACAAAAGTTTAACAGCCCTTTTTACTTGTAATGGAACACACAAACAAAAAAGAGCCCAAAGCATGCACCCAAATGCCTGTCTGCAAAAGGACACACTTTTCCAAGATTAGACTATTTAGATTATAAAAGACTGATCATCTTTATGATGAGTGTTTTCACACATCTTGGTTAAATTAGGCTTCAGTTCTACATCTGTGCTTTTCATGCAAAGCTGTTTAAAAATGAATTGCTAAGTAAACCTGCTTTCCCTGGTGTGTTACTTCTCTGTTCAGTGCATAGGGACATTGATACTGAATGCCTCTAAAATTGCTTCCCTTGTTTCTACATTAGAAACAGCCTCTACTGGAAGCAGAAATGTTTTTATATAGTACTTGAGAAAGTGCCCAATTTCATTACTGCTCAGGGACCAGCTACTGTCAAGAGTGAGCAAAACCCAAGTCAAAATTAGATCAGTACATTCTGCTTAAGATTTTGAGCTGAATTGCTGAGGCCACCTGTGGTTGATTTTTTTTTTTTCCTGTTTTGTATTTGATATCAAAGAAATCAATAAGGATGACTTTTGTCCTTCTTCTCTCATTTTGTTTGTAAATTCTCATGTTTATCTCTTCATCACAGGATCTTTAAAGTAATACACTGGCATGTCTGACAAGGGTACAATTTGTTCTGAAAACTGCTTTTTCATTGAGCTGAAACAGGGCAGCTGATTTTGGGAACAGCTTTTTGAGCAAGCATCCTCTTGCCATTTCCCCACAAGGCAATCAGGCTGTAGCACAGGTTGAAAACAACAATCTCAGAGGCCATTAACATTTTGTCAGTAATTGCCAGCAAAACAGTTGAGGGGCATCTCCTATTTGTCATGTACTTCTCACCATAGAATTTACTTCTGAATAAGGAAGAGGGATCTTTCTTTCCAGGAGCTCATGCTGTGCCTCCTGTCATTATGCTGGGGTCAAAATTGTTCTGCTACTGCAGAGCAATTTTCAGCATACAGCATATTTTCTGTATGCTTAGAAATGAGGAGCCTCAATTTCAGACTCTACAGCAACACATTATTAATGTCACACGAAGTCAAGATATTCAGTAACAATTGTTACTGGATGCATAATTAATTCTTTTAACAGTTGAAGTAAAAATATTTATCTTAGGCAGCTTTTAAGTTTCTGAATGTTTTTGTTAATGTACAGTGACCTTATGCCAGTTGGTTGGAAAGTGGGCCAAGGAGTACAAAGGTCCAGTTAAACTTCAAAGTATTCAAAAAGGCTTCATAAAAATTTTATTAGGGCTGTCTCTAGTAAAAAATTTGGGAATGTGACTTTCTTTACATTAGTGCATAATTGCTACTTTTTCAAAGTCAATATCCCTCCTGACTTAAAATTGGAAACATTCTATCACTTGATTGCAATTAGTGTCTGTCTTATTGATAAAACATATACTCTGTTGATTGTTCTACACGTATGTGAAAGTTTCATCTTAGAAGGCAATATGAACAAAATCAGGAGTAAAATATCCCATTTTAAAAAATCCTGATCATATTGCAAGTAAAACAAAGTTGCCCTACAGGTTGTAATGCATGTGTCACGCTCAAATTTATGTCTCCCTTAAATAACAATAACTGGAATACCTATAGCAGCATTTAGTTTAGATTTGGGGGCTTTTTTGTTAATTTTTTTGTTTGAATATTATTTGGAAAGTAATTAACATATTTAGGAGACTTTGCATGTTTAGGGTTTAAAAAAGACAAAACTCCCTATGCTTCTGTCACCTTCCCTGTTTTGCAGTATGTGTTCAAAAGTCACCCAATTAGCATTATCTGCTTACTCTTTTTATCATATGCAAAGGAAGCTGGACTTCTTAGAAGAAAAAAGAGTCATAGTATTAGTCAATTGGTGATTCAAAAGATATATGAAGAAAAGAGTATTCTATTTCAGAGATAATTTTTTTCCTATAAAATATTTCAGTTGAGACAGTTTTAATAAACAAGGGATCATGTTGAATGCATTATGTTGTGATATTTTAAAACACTAAAAACTACTTTAAAACTACCTTTGAACATTATAACATAAAAGTATGCTGTTTTCTCCCCTCCTTTACTTCCTCTATCCGTGCTCCTTTTTGCTCTTGCTATTGTACTATAACTCTTTAGTATTCCATATCTGTCCTCGTGTAGCACCAGCTAGTCCTCTTAAATCTCCCTACAAGCCTTCCCCCACCCGAAGCACCGACAGGAAGAAGGCAACTTCACCCTCCACTGCCAATGCCATGAAAGGGGCACCTGCAGCTGAAGTTACTCAGGTGAGTTTGTAATGGTTTTGATTTCACTGCTGGGTAAATTGATGAAGCTTCTGCTTGTTATCTTTCCTTTTACATGAATACAAAGGAAGTGTTTCCCCTGCTATAGGAAACAGCAGTAGAAAAGTAAGCCCTCCCAACACCTGTTGCCTTTGTGCTCCTGTTAAGGAATATTTTAATATCTTCTTTCTCCTGGGAATCAGTGCTGAGTGCTGGTATTGGAACACCAACACTCCTGTTTTCAGAGAACTGAGGCACTGAAGTGTATGTTTGTGGACTTGCTTAGAACTTCTGGGAATGGGGATGACAAATAGAATTCCCTCCTGACTATGACTATCCAGGCTTGCTGGTTAATGAGCAAGCTTCATATATTTCAGAAATGTCCCAAGTGTATTGATAATGCCTTTGTGTTACACCAATTGCTTTAACTCTTTCTGTGGACATTTTTAATTCTGTTTGCTTAAAAGATGCATTATCAATCCACTGTAGTTTCCAGAAAAGAAAAGGCAAGTCACTCACCTCCACTGAGTCTACACAGCTTAAGGCATGCTTTAAAAAAATTCTGTGTTAGGGCTATAATATTCATGTAAGGTCCTGTATCTTGTAATACTTACTGATAGGGGGATTCATGCCATGTAAATTAGCTGCAAGTGAGAGAGCCAAAGCCGGGAGTAAGGATTTGTGTGGTGTCATTCTTAGGTGTGATTCAGTGTTACATGCAGCACCATTTCTGTGAGATGCCTGTTTGGACTGCTGATCATGTCTAAGCAGGGGCATATGGATGATTTTGAAGATTTCACCCAGTGCCACCCCCCTCCCAAGAGCTCTTGCAGAGGCTCTGATGTGTATTACTTATCTGAAATTTACATGCTCTGCCCATGCAAGACAGGGGTGGGTGGGTGCTATGTCTATGTAAAAAAACAACTATTAATAGCACCTCACTTCTGAGCTGCCTGTTTAAAAAGCTTTTACAGGTGTGCCACATAAATCTCTTTATATGCCATCTTGCTAATGAAACAATCAAATGTATTTTTGATTTATTGATCCTAATTATGGAAATTAAAATGAACTGTTCTTCTAGACTGAGAAGATAAAGAAGGAGAAGCGACCTGCAACACCTGGTTCATCATCTGGTATGGGATCTCCTCTGAGAAGGTCTGATTCTCCTGCTGCCATGTCCAGAAGATCTGCATCTCCTGCAACACCTAAGTATGCTTTTCTTATTAGTGGAAAAATATCCTGTGAATTTCTCATTACCTGTAAATAAGGCATAGATTCTTCCTTCCAAAAAACTTCCTTTGAAGTGTTGTATAAAATCTAGTTAATTTTACTAATACGTATGCACATATACAGATGAAATATGTGCATATATATATGAAATATGCACAAATACAGATGGGTGAGAGGAGAGGTGTAGATGACAAATATGATATCTGTAATAGTGTTAGTACCCACTAGAGACAGTTCTCTCTACCTTTCTTCAGTCTTGAAATTACAGTACATTTCATTATTCACATGAAATTTTACTTCACATTTATATTTAAATATGGGGTTTTTTTGTTTGATTTTGAAGAAACTGCCTAATGTGAAGAAATGCACTCATCATGAATACTAACTAGAAATTCCAGCATTTAATATATGCATTTCCTATTGTTGGCATGACCATCTGGTGCCATAAATACACTTAACTATGTGTCGTCTAAACCATTAGTTTTAACCTTTGCTCATTTGCAGACCTCTGTATTTTGTTGCCTTTTTTTTAATGCAGAGCTGTGGATCTATAGCATATCTGGGCTTGCTGACAACTGACTTGCTTTTCTTGATTGTCTTTTGCTGAAAACTGTTCTATGTGTACCACAGCTTGAAACTCAAGTCTAAGCAAATGGGTCTCCAGGTTTCTTAGAACAGAGTATTAAGTCTGGCTCTAATGTAGGAGTATGCTAAAGTAGTCCTGGTCTACAGTACTTGCCTAATTTATTTGGCTGGTTGATTGTTTTGGACTTTCTCTTAGACCTTGTTTGTGGGTGCCACTTCTGTCTTGAAAATTGTCTTATTTATCTTTTTTAACCTGAAGCTGGCCATATTTTGAACCAGGCTTGATGATCCCCTTTCTGACAGATTTCTTCTGCCTGAAAAACCAGCTGGTGTTCCTTTTCTCTTTCAGCTCTGAGGGCATAGCCCTTTAGTGGGGGATGATTTTGTGTGTGAATCTGATGTTAGACAACGTAAGGAAACCATCTGACTCTCAGCATTTTCTGGTTTAGACATCCCCTTGCATGTAACTGGGACACTGCATTTCTTGGTTTTCCTTATAAAGATACAAATTCTCAAACTTTCAGTAATATACATGTCATCAGATTCTGTGGTATGAACTACATCCATTTTATGAATAATTGAATGAAATGCAATGGTAATGACAGTCAGCTTTCTTACTACAGTTTGAGCAGATCATTGTCTAGTGGCACTCTGCAAGGTAAAGTAAAAAAAAAAGTTTGAGCTCTAAGACAGTATATTATTCTGCAAGTACTGATACTCCCTGCTCAGAATGCATTTTTCAGTTTGTTCAGCCAGTATAAGAGAAAAAAGACCCACCAAGAGACACATTTAGTTGAGCAAAATGATTGGTGGGAAATGAATTAGCTTAGTGTCAAGTGCTGCTTGCTGGGCAGGCAGAAGTTAGTGCAGATCATCAGAGAAATGTCCAAGGGTTAAAAGAAAAAGAGGCAGCTCTTTAGTGCTTCATGAAAAAGGTATACCCAATCTTAATTTGAAGCACTAATTTCCATAAAAGATTAGAAAATTATGGAGAATTTTTTCCAGAGGTGCAAATTATAATAGCCTTTGTACAGTAAAATGTTTTCATGCCTATAAGGAATACTGTTTTTAGAAGAAGAAACAGATGCTGCATGGAGGAATTAAGAAGCCTGCTGGTGGGTTTCTCTGTGATTGTGAGCCACAGTAGTGATCCCTTTTTTTCCCCCCACTCCTTCTCTTTCTCAAGGGAATCTGATTCTGACCATGGCTAGGAATGTATTACCGAGCATTTAATATTAACGTGGCCCAATTAGAACACCCTTCTTGACCTTATGAGAGATACAGTAAATAGAGTTTAAATCCATGTTTATTACTGATTGCAGAGAGTTCTGCTTCAGCACTTTCAGAACTTCCCCTCATAATTCTAAAATTAAAATTGTGCTAATGACCATATTGTATTATTGTATAGAGATTAAAATAGTGATAATATATGCATTTTTCTTGCAACTCAAATTCCACTGTTAATTTTCATTGAGGAGATAAGATTATACAATCTAAAGGAAGGTTCCAAAAGCCGTACTGCCTGTATTTAAATCCAGCAAGATTTATTATATATTAATTGTATTATTTTTATTTCTTGATTATTTATTTAGTTATTTATTTATTTCTTAAGACCAGCAAGAACATTATCTGCCATTCAAGTATCATTTTGGTCTGACTAAATATGTATAAAAATACTCATTCTCCTTGCAAACCAAACAATCTTGTACATGTTTAATCTTTCTCCTTCTGGCACACTATATGACTGAAAAAGTAACCTGGAATAAATAAGAATACATATTGTACAGCATTCGTAGTTAGTGATCCGGCATAGCACCTTAACCTGTAAAGCTGCTGGGGAAAGAATCAAGCACAGCCAGTGATTTACATGACAATTAGCTGTATGCATTTCTTTTCTTAAGAATATGTGATTTGGCATTCAAGTTTTCTTGGTATTGTTCTAGTTACCAGTTCTTCACAGTTGTCATCTTGGTTTCTGAGTGGGCAGTAACTTGTCTTCTTAATACGTTATTTCATTATTTGTTAAATAAAAAGCGCTTTTAATCATGGTAAAGTAACTGAAACAGGATCAAACAAGACAATAAAACTTCAGCCTAAAGAGACCCAGTGATTAATGGCAGAAGAGAGTTTATTTATGGAATTACTCCAGTAATTACATAAATAAAACACTAATGTTTTGGATGGGCAAATTTTACTGAGAAAGCAAAAAAGGTCAGTCCAAAAACATAACATCTGAGATGAGTGAACAGATACAGATATAAAAAGGAGAAAAGGGGAAAAATCAAAATATGCTGAACAACAATTAAAAGCGGCAAAGGAATTCTAAACGTGATGTTATTTGGAGAAGTAAATATGTCAAGAAATGTCACAGAAAGGAGTCCAAAACTATTCTTTTGAATCTTAATGTGGACAAGATGAAAGTTAATGGATTAGAGTGTTTGAACGACTGAGAAATTGTCTTTAATCTTTTTCAATTGCTATTGGATACTGATGGTGCAAAGTGTTCATTTTCTTCAGATCTTTCACAGGATCAATAATAAGAGGATGAGGGGTTTGGGTAATTTTTTGTTTTATGCTTCATCTTGGAAGATCTGTACATTAATCAGTTTATTCTTGCAGTATCCCTCAGAGAATAGGTAAGTGTGCTTTCTTATGGATCAGGAAGACAATAAAGCCTGTGTCCTTCACATGTCTTTGGGTAAATAGTCCCTAAATAAATCAATGGCATCTGACTGAATCGAGGAAGTAGGATTTAGTTTTAAGTATCTTCAGATGAGCCACAGTGTGAGCCAGTGAATAAAATTGAAAGCTCTGACAAGCCTGTGTGTCACATTCTTTTGCCAAAGCATAACCTCCTGAGAGAAGGAGAAAGGGGGAAGGGGAAGGTGACTGATGGGTGGTGCTGCTGATGGGTGGTGGTTCATGTTCCTTTTCAGGTCCAGGTTGGTCACTGTCCTTTGCTCGTGGTTTCACCAACTGAACCCTTTACCTGGTGGTTCTGTTGGGTGACAGCCCCCTGTAGCTTGGGGGAAACACTTTTGATGTCAGAAATGTATGTGCATGCTCAGTCAAATTGCAGAATACTGATGGAATATGAACATAGACTAGTAAAAAGAAATGTGCCCCTCAAACTTGTAAAGTGTTTAAAAATTAGTTATTGGAAAGGTGTCTGCATGTGGTGAATTCTCCACAGAAGTAGCTTCTATGTCCTGCAGTGACCCATTTTAGATTTTTACTTTGTATGTGCTACATTTACTACTCTTAGTTTTTGTGTTGGCTTGGAAAGATAATAACAATGGGTAGAATGTTGATCAAGAGTATTTTGAGGGATTTTTCAGCAGTTAGCCAGATAACAGGCCGGTTCACAGTTTTGAGACATCTGTAATAATGTAACTATTCAAAAGACTATTCTACAGACCTATGCTGAGTTTTTTCTCTTTTAAGAAATGTGAAAGAGAAATGAATCTGTCTTTGGTTACAAAAGATCAAAACTAAGAGTGAAAGAAAACTGCTCTTGAGAAAGTGTCACAGAGCAAAAATAGCTTGGATCAGAGCAATGTCAGAAAGCAGGCTTGAGAACATGCAGGTCCTTGGTGTGGTTTCAGCAGAGTTTTTGTTGAATTAATGGAGAGAAAGGAGAAAAATAATGCAGCTCTGGCATTGCTGAAGATTTCTGATTTACAGTCAGCCTCATGGACAGCCATAATCAGTGACCTGCCACATAGCTGACGTTTCAGGAGAGCATGCTGTTCTCTGCCCTGGTCTTTATGGCCAGAGCTCGGTGTGACATCTGATTTGTGTGCTACATGTGTTTTATTTTCTCTGCTTAGCAAAAGTAAGCTCAGAACCCCTCATATGCTCTTCCTGAGACATTATTCTGCAGAATGGACTATCCCTTTCGTAATTAAATAGGAGCCATGGTAATTAAGAATCAGTGATCCTCACTGATAGAGGTTCTAGCAGAGCACTTAGGGGGCAGCTTCTGTCATGCTGCTGCCCTCATGTTAGCTCAAGGCAGTTAGGTGAGAAAACTCATGTCTTCTTAGAGAGAGGAAGGTGCTTCTGTATTCCCCTGTAAAATCCAGTTACTGAGAACGAGTAAGCTGTCTGACCACTGACATGCTACCACTTCTTGGACTTCAGTGATTTGTTATCTTAATTCTCTAACCCTTATCAGGCATAATTCTGTGTTTCCCACTTTCTTACCATGGTTTAAACCTAAACAGGCTTCTATACAAGTGACTATAATCTTTTTCTTCTTAGTAATTCCATTTTTCTGCCTTCTCAATCAAGTTTGGCTCTTTTTGGTGTAAAACAGCATAACTTAAATGCTATTTAGAAGGAGTGTTTTTTCCAGTAACAATTCTGCCTGTGTCAAGGAGTGTTAAAGATGCTAAGTTGAGAGTTTTAAATACAATTAAAATACAATGTTAATTTAATACTTTCTACTGGCATCCAGTAAATTATATAAAAATTCTGAAAAACTATTCTTATTCCTGATGGACTTTCTCAGCTTTGCACTTTACACACTGCATTATTCTCATCCTTACAGTAATCGGTCTTCTATTTTTCTCACTTTTAGCTACTTTATATGAAACTCTACTACTTTCTTGTTGTTCTGGTCTAAGAGCCTATAGCACTTTGGTTAAAAAAAAATTACTGTAAGTCTAAAGTTCAAAGATGCAGTAGCTAAATAATATATTCAGCACATGTTTCTAATCCACCAGCTGAGTTGCACAACCAGTCTTCTCTAATGCCTGTGCAGTGCAAGATACATGGCTCTCATGACTAGACTCCTTCCTACCGACCCCTTTGATTGTCATGTCTTTATTAGAGAACAATTACTTCTGTACTAATACTGAGAATGACTCAGCCTTAGTTATTAGCCTGTTTTGCTCCTTCTGTCACAACAAGTTAAATCAAAAGCATTGCAAGGAACATGCGGTAAAGTGGGAAATGTGAACCAAAGACAGCGAGAAGGGACTCTGCTTTGAAGAAGTGTCTAATTAGCAAGAAGCACCCTCTGTGCTGCAGAAAAATATGAGAAAAAATGTTTTCTATTTAGCAATTATATTTTTATGAAATACAGTTGGAAATGTCCGCAGTGATGAGGCACATGTGAGATATACATGTGTAGGTGGGGCCTTGAAATCTGCCTTTGATGTCAGAAGGACCTGGAATTGCATCTCTAACCTAAAGAGGAATCTAAAGACAGTGCTAAAACCGGATTTGGTCAACACAACCAAACTCATTCTCTAATTGCTGTTTTCTTCAAGAACTTAAATCAGACTTGTCTGTTTACATCTTCCAAAGCCTGCTTCTGTCATGGAACAGCAGGAGTCATGGGTGGCAGCAGGACAGACAAGGACAGGGACCTTGCCCACAGCACCCCATCCCATGGCAGGCAAAAGAAGTGACCAGGGTCAACCAAGAGCCCAGTGACAGCCAACAAAGGCCTTACTGAGGCAAGTGCAAGGACAAGGCAGGACATCATGTCAGGATGAGCAGGTTAGGAAGCCAAGAAGAACAGGCTTACCTACAGCTGAGCTCAGCCAAGGACCAAGGGCGAGGACCTGAGCTGACAGGGAGCTCCTGGGCCTGCGGGCAGGCGGTACCTGAGTTGAACTTCAAATTTAGTTGGATGCTACTGTTCCTGCAGCCTGAGGGCTTTTGGACTCTGTGGTGGCTCTTCAGTGGGAGTAAGAAAGTAAGGATGGTGCAATACTCAGCAGTGTTTTCCTCCCCACAAACCAGGCAGCTTTGAGTGAGCTCCTTGTAGTCTAATGTCTCAACCTCTTTCAAATGCAGTCTAATATGGTAGAAAAGAATCCTTTTTTCTACAGAATTCATGAGTTTGGGGAGGAGTTGTATAAGATGCCTTATTTTTATTGTGTGCTTTGTAATGCAAATACTGTTCTAGTTATAATGGTCTCTGACCACACAATACTATAGTTAGATCTATACAAACCTTGACACTCCATTAATTTTTAGCTGCTGATCATGTTTTTCATGTTTGTGGTCTGCCAGAATGAGTGTGTAGTCCGGAAAGCATGTTATGCTACATGAAACTCTATATAGTGTAGATGAAAAAAGTGATAAGGGATAATACATTTGTATCATAATTGCATATCCAGGAAGAAGGTTAGCAATATGTGTGTAACATTCACTTTAATGTAAGATAATTTATTCTAATGAGACTCACATAAATCATTATTTTAAGATTGTAATCTGTTTATTCTTATAATACTTAGTCACACATCCCAGCCTTTCTTAACGTTACAAGTGCTAGTTACTGGTGTTACATGAATAATGAATAGCATTCGTGTGTAGTTTTATGTTTCCTGGTAATCTGTTCTCTTTATGTGCACCTATTTTCAGTGAATATCAGATATCTTTACCCTTCCACTTTCCCAGAACTGGCTTCAGGGCTATCACTTCACCTGAAGTGTGCAACAGCCACATGGGCAATGGGCTGCATTGCTGCTGTGCATCGCCAGCACCACAAGTGCAGCTTCTGAAAAGCTCCAGGGGCTGAGTTTGGAGTCTGTTGTGTTGGTGCTGAAAAAAGCACTAACTCAAACAGTGTTGCTGACAATATAATGGTTTTATCAGTTCTGTCTCTTTCAGTAGTACCCAGCCTTACCTTTGTATATACAAGTATTTGGTGCTTTTTTGGAAAATCAGATAGGATTAGAAAAAGACCATGGTTGGCAAGGTGGTATTCAGATGAAAGCAGCATGCTGTAACTCATTATGATTTCTACAGACAGAGAGCAGCCATAGCTTGGGTTTGCATGTTGAGAAGGACTGTAGAAACAGTGAAGTTGACAGAATTCTTTTGAAATGGTCATTACTAAAATCATTGGTTTAGGTTGTCCACAATTTCCTCTCTCTCACCTAGACCTTAGACAGTGTTATTGCTGTATTTTAATGACAATTTTCTGTAATCGTGTGCACTTCTATGTCAGTTTCATGCATTTTAAGTTCTGATTGCATCCAGGTGGTTCTTTTCAGTATTGTGCAGAACAGCTGACACTCCTCTGTAGCCAGAGACAAGAAAGAATGAGAAATGTGAAGATGGAGTTTGATTCCAAGCTGTTTAACATCTGGCCGTGTTTGATTTTTTTGTTTTCACTCATCAGGACAGTTGCAAAGACTTATCCTCAGTCTCCTAAAAACACCAAACAATATCCAGCTTCTCCTGTGAAGCATCGTGCCACTTCCAATAGCAGCCAGGAAACACCTAAAAAGAAAGCAGACAAGGAGAAAGAAAATGTCAGTCACCTGAAGTCCCCAGGAGCACGCACTGATGACGTGGGCCAGGTGGCTCCTGAGAAGCACGTGCCTTCTGCTGGAAAGGCTGAGAACAGTGAAGGTGAGCCCTGCTGCAAGATGTTAGTGCAAAGTATGATGGGTCCCTGAGACTTTTAATTGGTGATGAGCTGTTCTTTTCATGAGGCTGCTCAGTCACAGGCTCATGAGAATGTGTAAAGATGCATACTGGAACCTGTGAATACACAGTTTTCACAAATGTACCAATTGTTAATGAAGATGTGAAAATGCTGACATCCAGGGATGCCCTTATCTATTCCATCTTCTTTCTGCTGAAAATGCTGAAATGTGGTTTTAAAAAGGTGTCTCACCACCCTGAACCAGGCCCATTTCAGCCCCTGTATGAACCTGGAATTGCTGGGCACTCTCTTTGCTCCCTGCCTGACTTTCCATCCTTGGTTTTCTTTTCCCAGGGAAGATCACAGCGGGAACAAGTGATGCAGAAGAAGCTGCAAAAATTCTAGCTGAAAAAAGACGACAGGCACGCCTGCAAAAAGAACAAGAGGAAAAGGAAAAACAGGAAAGAGAAGAACGAGAAAGGTCTCTCTGTTGCTTTGTGAAAATTATAGCCTAATAATTTAACCTGTATTGCTGAAGATACAGGTCTCTTGAAACTGTGGTAGTTTTGGAATCAAATGGCTGCTTATATGTTTTTGTTAATTTCTTTAATTTCAGACTCATTTCATTGGTGTCTTTTGCAGTCTCCGTGATTAGTGAAGTTAAAAAATAATAATTTGGCCTCTTCAAGAACCCTGAATAAATTATTACTTTTCCAAATACTTCAGGCATGTCCATGCTGAAGTGTACTGCACACTGCATTCTGGGCATACCTGAAGTATTTTACATTGTAAAAAAATATTTTAGGTGGCTTTAAATGAGCTAGATCATGTAGCAGAAAAGGTCTTGCAGGAGCAGGATATGCATAAAATGGCAAAGCTTGAATCATTCATAATTAACCTGAAGCTCCTCTTCCTGCCCAACTCTGCTGCAGGCATTGAGGGCTGAGTGTGGGCAGAATGAAGGTTGCTGTCTGAGCTGTGAAGTTCTGGCTCTGTTCTGGGAACAGGCTTTTTGGTGGTTCTCCACATGGGATGTTGGTTGCAAATGTCAGCAAACCATGCACTTCCTTCAACCCTGTAATAATAAATCATTAATTCTGCATGTCTAGATTCAACTTTGGGGTTTCTTACTACAGACACAGTGGGCAGGGTTGAAGCATGGAATAGAACTCTCCAACTAGTTAAAGTTAGAAAGGGGTGTGTTTATTGACAGCACCAGACACATAGGCAGCCATCTCCCAGAATCATGTGCAAAGAATCACAGGCTCCAGCTCTCTATTTATCTGAAAAGTAATTCCCATGTAATTCCCAAAATGCCTAATACATATTCATTACCTAACCCGCCCACCCCGCTTCGTACTAAAATGTATTATAACCGAGTCCAAAGTTCCTTCACGCTTACGCAGTCTTTCACCTCACATGGGTTGGTGGGTTTTGAAATGGGTCGTGGTCTTCTGAGGTCAAAGTGTCCTTTTACTTTTGCCTTGTTGGCAGGTTTTGGACCCCTTGGCTATAGCTCAGGTTTGGGGGCCCAGGTGCAGGCTATGGTCCTCTTCTTTTTCACAATTAAATCCACATCCCATGCTGCTTCTTTAAACATAGTAAAGACAGGCAGGTGATACATCACTCTAGCCTTAACTACTTTATCTGCTAATAATTAACTCTCCCTTATTATTTCTACTCTTTGTGCTATACTCTTAATTGTTTCAATCCCCCCTAACTAAATTTAGTTAAACTTTTAACTCTTTCAGTTTCTTTAAACCCTTGATTCAGGGTGGGAGTGGAATGACCAGCTCCTGCCAGTTTGGCCTGATAGAATGATAAGAATGATCACTTGAAAAACAATTCTTAAGGAGCATGATGCCCCTCAGTGGGCCAGGGAACAACACAGGTGGGATTTAGACCCATTCCTTCCAGTATTCCACTGTGTTTTGTGGAATTTGCTGCTACTCATCCCATCTGTTTATCTTCAGATGCAGCAAAGGATAAAAGAACTTGTTTATAGATACCAGCATTCTGGGTATCAAGTATAGGGGAAGAGGGTTGTCTTTGTTTTTGAAACTTAATTTTATTATTGACACTCTAATTGAAATTAGAACAGGAATGTTTTCTTTGATCACACGTGGTTTTTTTCAATGGAAATGATAACTTCTATGAAATATTTCAGGCATTTAAAGTAAGATTGAAGTAAAACCTTGATAGCAACCTGAATTCTGAGCATGTGCTCAATGTCTTCATTGTATCCTGGCATCTTTAATGAAAATATGTGCTGATGCATGTGTTACCAGTTACTGATGTACATTCAATAGGATTCATGCTAAACAAGATGAAGCCTTTCAAACCTTCTGTTACATTTTTTGCAGGCTTGAAAGAGAAGAGCAGAAAAGAAAGGCAGAAGAAGAAAGACTTCGTCTGGAAGAAGAAGCTCGTAAGAAGGAGGAGGAAAGAAAACGTGAAGAAGAGGCAGCTAGAAAAAAGGCAGAAGAGGAAGCCAGAAGAAGAGCTGAGGAAGAACAAATGTTAAAGGAAAAGCAAGAAAAAGAGCTCCAAGCCAAGCTGGAGAAACAGGTATCATCTCAAACAGAAATGTGAATTTTTTATACATGTAAAGAAAATACTTCTTAATATTTGTTAGTCTGCCTGAAATAAATAATGGCCCTAACATATTTTACACATTTTGATTAGAGGGAAGAAGCAGAAATCAAAGCCCGTGAGGCAGCTGAACAGCTTCGTCTTGAAAGGGAACAAATCATGCAGCAAATTGAGCAAGAAAGGCTGGAGCGGAAGAAGGTGAGTATTTGCATCTCAGGATAATTATTTCATTTCTTGTTTAAGTACATAACCCAGGAAGCACCAGTAGTATCTAATAACAATAATCTGGAGGGATTAGAGGTGAATAGTTATGGCAGACATAGTATTTGTTACTTGCCTGTTAGAGGAACATGGACATCAAAATTTGTAACAAAGTGGAATTGCCTGAGGCAAATGACTTTCTCCTAGGCACTGAACAAACACAGAGCCAGCCTCTACCTGAAAGTTAAATGCCTGAGACAAGCAAGGAATGGCATGCCAAGGCAAATGTCAGTTGCTGTCCAACCCAGGACATCACTAACTACTGAGAAACATGAGTGACTTTGTTTAAAACTTGCTCAACAAAAGCTCTGTGTCATAAATTGAGAAAGTTTGTGATTAACAAACAGTTTTTCCCCCACCTGGCTGTCTCTGGTAGCATTATGCAGAGGAACAGGATTGTCTGGCCACTGCTGCACACGGAAGTGCCTGAAGCTGCATAAATTAGCTTTGTTTACAGCTGTGTGGCAGGAAGGAGAACAGCTGCAGAACCCCTGTCTGGTTACAAATCATCTATTCATACATGTTATTCCAATATGTTTTAAACTGTTTACCACTGAACTGGAGGCATGTTGCTGTTGCAGATTAGAATATCAAACCAAAGTGTTTTACATCTCAAATAACATTTCCTTTTTAATGAAGAAAGAGGGAAAACAAAAGTATTTTAGGATAATGCCTTACACATTTCTAGCAAGAATAACTTCAGATATTTCATTTTTCTCTTCTATTCCAAAAAGGCTAACTATTTTTAAAGGCACTGTTTGGAAATAGTTGGAAAAGCAGCTAGATTAAAATAACCACTGTTGGTTTTAAACAAATGTCTTGTTGCAGAACTGAGCATAACTTATAGCTGCAAACACCTTTGCAGTATATATATATTAAAATACTTGTTTCTAAAGTGCATCTGCTGAGAAAGTCATGTTCTGTAAGATCTGGTAGGTTAAAGCCAGCTGCAAGATGTTTTCCATCTTTAATTTTCTTTATTTTTCTTATTTGTTCTCCCTTTTCCAAGACAGGCAGAGAGGATGTCATGACAGTAAAGAAAAGGTTCTTTGTCTTTTTTCCCCTGTCTCTTGTGTTACATATTCTGTCTGCCATCTCATCCTGAAATTTATTTTGATTTATAGAGAATAGATGAAATAATGAAGAGAACAAGGAAGAGTGAAACCCCAGAAATAAAGGTATGAAACATTATGTGGTTGCAGATTTTTGTGTTTTGTTTTATTATCATATGTGGAAATTAAATTCTAGAGTAGTTGCATGTTAGTAAGTGTACTTAGGTACAGTCTAGGCCCACATTTTAGATGCATTTCAAACTGAGAATAACTGTTGATGTGTCACAGCCACCACTACAGAGACACAGCTTTTATGCAGCCTTTGCAGGTAGGATAATTGTCCCCCTCACTACCTAGCAAGAGGCAACAGCTCCTTCCTGCAAGCTGGAGCTGTAATGTTTGCTGCTGTTGATGTGTCTCCCTGCTTTGTACCAGCCAGTGAATTAGTTACTGAGCACTCTTTGTTACCCTGTCAGGAATGCGGGAATGAAAAGAAGGCAGTTGGGTCCAGCTAAGGAGTGACAGTCAGGTTTTCATTTCTAATCTATCACTGAAGGGGTATGAGGGACAGACAAAGGTGATAAGGAGACTCCATCATGAGAAGGCATGAAAAAGCACTTTATTATTAGAAATTCATAGTTCTTGTAGAAACAATGGTGCACCTAAGACCTGATTGGCTTTTAGGAGTTTTCTCTCACCTATTGGTCAAGAAGGGACAACTCCTTCTTGTAAACATCTTTGACAAACAGAGATTGCCTGCTGAGATTGAGATAATAATTGCTTTAATTCTTTCTCTGAGCTTTCTCACAGATTCTCATAGCTTCCCAGGAAAATCCTGGGAGAGCTGTGTCTCTCTCTGTTCAGAGAATATGTAATTACCACACTAATCTACTAAGGAAACTGTTCAGTTACTTTCAGAGAATATTTTCTTTTTTAATTAAAAAAAAAAAAGCTATGCCTAACTAAAAAGGGAAAAAAAGGTCCTGTCTTGCTGTTGATGGTCTTTGTCATCCTGTGGCCCTGGGCAGTCTGACAAGTTTTGAGTCCAATCAGTTCCATGAACGTTACAGTCCTCCCTCTAATACAGCTGAGTCATTTGATTTCAGAAGGAAGAGCCAAAACTGGAGATCCCATCAACTTTGAATGTGGAAAAGCAACCAAAGGCCCTTGTTCTCAACCAGCCAGGTAAAAATTGCCAGACTTTTCTGACCTGTTTTCACAGTTGAATCTCTTCAGATTTTTTGATCTGAGGCAGAGCACTGTGTATTATCATAAGTTCTTTGCTTTCATCTCAGAAAGAACAGCTGCATTTGTATCAGTGACAAATGTTAGAAACTGGAGACAGCTTTGCTTTGCCACTTAAGCAAAAGCAGAATAAAGTTTCTCCTCCATTTTAGTACCTGATGTAGCATTTTTTGTAAATAAAAAGTTCTAGTCTGCCAATGTTGGTGTTTGGTTTGATGGCTGCAACCTACCTTCAAATTTAGGTAGAAAATTTTTGCACACAACCAAGCTTTTTAGAGTATGACTCTAAATCTTACATTTAATTTCACTTCATTAAAAAAACCCTATATGAAGTTAAAGGATTATTAAATAAAATATATCTGACACTATCTATATTTTGTTTACTTCCCCAGGCTAAGGTTTTTACCACATGACATAAAGGATAGAACATTCTCTTCCTGTTTCCTCAAATTTAAAAGATGTAGCGTAAAGAGCAGTTTTGGAGTGGAATAGAGGAATGACAGTACAGTATGATGAGTCATGGATTAAACAGAGTCTACTGCATTATCAGTCTTTCTTTCTACTCAATCTATAACTTAAAACTTTTTAAATAATAAAGTTTCTACTGTCATAACTCTAACTTTCTTTTACAGAGATCAATGGATTGGCAACCTGCCTAAAAAATAAAAGCTTAGAAAGTGCTGCTTCTGTAATCCCTTCCCAAGATGTAGTTGCTAATGGACTGAAGTCAGTTTCAGGACTTATTCAGCTGGAAGCTGTTGATGGGAAATCTAACAGCATGGAAGATTCAACAGATGAGGTTCAGTCCATGGATGTGAGGTACAGACTGGATCTACCTACAGGGCTGTGGAATTCATATGAGACACAGGATTTTGGGTTTTGTTTGTTAACACTTTACTGCTTTCCTTCTCATGTGCCCCCACGGTGACAGCTGGGTGTGCACTGGCTGTGTTCTGCTCCTGCCAGGATGCTCCTGGGTGTTTGGCACAAGAGCCACAAAACCTCATCTCACTCTCACATATTTGGGAGAGGGAACTCTGAAATCCTTCCACAGTCCTTACTTATGGATTCCATGCAAGTTTGCCCAAACCTTTCAGACAGTTTTGTGAAAGCAGATACTGTAGATACTGTTCTGATGTCACTATTTTTTAATTTGGCTGCATAGCTGTGATTCATGAGCATTTCTGCCTCCATACAAACAGAATAAAGAAAATAATCGATGTAGAATTTGAAGTACTTAACAAGTAGAAATGTATGGAAATCAGACTCTCACATTTTGATGGAAGGACGTGCAGAAAAGAAGGATTTTTAATTTTAAGTTTTTTTTATTTACATATATATCTAGGCAGTCAATTTAAGGCTGCTAAGTCAAAGCTAGATCTGAATTTTAAACATGGAATTTTAATACTGTTCTTCCTTAATCAGTAATCCAGTTGAACCTCTTATACTGTCTCAGTGTTTCCAGCAAATATGCATAAATATATAAGAAAAGCCCTGCTGGGACCAACCAGAAGACTGTGCAGCCCATTATTTGGTCTCAGAGAGTATCAGTAAGAAAAACCAGTGAGGGAGAGCACATGAGCATACCACTTCCTGCAGTCCCAGGTCACTGAAGTGCAGCCTTAGGGATATTGAGGGCACAAGTTTGCCTTGGCCTTTTAAGTGGCCATTGGTTGACGAGTTGCCTTTGAGTTTTTCCTACTCCTTTTTTTTTACCAGCTCTTTGTGTCTAGGACCTCACCTGGAAGCAGTCTGTACAGTACAGTCTCACTGGTAGATTATGTTCTTTGAGCCCTGTTAAACCCAGTTTCTTACTGGTGGCATTGGACAACACTTGCGTTTAGTGTTGTAGGATTTCATGCACGATAGTTTTGCCCTCAACTCATCCACCACCACCACCACCGTTTAAGAAATGTCTGTGAAAGCCTTCCTCTGCCTTCTCCAAACTAAAATGCACTAGCCTTGCTAGTCTCTGTGAAGCAGCTGGTTGCAGCATTTCTTAAGTTTAATTATGGGATTTCTATGTCTGAAGTATATCATAAGGTCTTAAGAAATAACTTTTTAAGTTTTGAAATGTATGTGCTTTAAGGAAGCGTTTGCAGGATCAGGACAGTAATGTGAAAGATGCAATAAATGTTTAGGTAAAGGAATAGTGCAGGGACTGAAATAATGATCAGTAAACTCAGTTCAGTAAGCTATCAGACCATGTGGGTTTAGGAGATGAGTGCTCATGCTACACAGCTACCACAAACCTTAATCATTAAGGGATAGGTTAGGTATGACCTTCCGTCCTGAACAGCCCAATATCTTTTTTCTTTGGATTAGGACATTCTCTAGGTAAAAGCTTGCTGCAGCTGCCTTAAGATGCCTGATAGTTTTTGAACAGTCAGAGGTTTAACTTGATTGTTGCTTAATGAAAAGTTAAGAGATCTCTAATTCTGTGTCTTTCTTCCTTTATCTTTTGTATAGCCCGGTTTCAAAAGAAGAACTTATTTCTATCCCTGAATACTCACCCATGAATGAACTCATGCCAGGTGTTTCTTTGGACCAAAATGGGACAAGTAATGCCAAGGCTCTTGAAGACCTCTTGGATTTCACAGGCCAGGCTACCTACTCCAAGATGTCCAGTGATACCCTTAGCCTAGATGACTGTAACAAAAACTTGATTGAGGGATTTAACAGCCCAGGACAAGAAAATACACTTAATTCTATCTGTTGACAGCCTCGCTTTTCAGCAGAACAGATACAGGTACAGTATTGTGATAAACATCTTATGATAAATTGCTGTGATTACTTCCCAGCTTCCAGCATTTGTTGTACATGGCAGTGTGGGGAGAGAAAGAAAGCTGTTCTCCTAGGTATTTAAATTCAACATAATCTTTGAGATTTGCAGCTGCCTGTAAATTGGCATCATATGCAAACTGACTGTATCATAGCAACCACAAGTATCTGGTAAATGGAAACATTTCCTTTAGGCATCCAGAATTTCTTCATTAATACAATACCTTCCCTGTATGTCTTTGGAGCTTATTTGCATGAAGAAAATAGTTAAAAGTGGGACCAGTCTAGGCCATGGTAGTTATTGCTGCTGCTTACTCTTTTCTCTGCTGCTGTAAAACTTGCAGTGTAGAATCACATAGCCTGAAAAGTCAGCATAGTAAAAACCCATAGCAGGCTTCAGTGACAGTTTCAAAGTACAAAGCCATGGTCAGGTTTTTTGGAAGAGTATATTATCTAAATAGCAAAACTGAGGTCATCTCACTTGTGTAGCTGACTTGATATTCTTCTCTCTTTTTGATTGACAGAGGTAACCATTTCTGGAGGATATATATCCCTGTGATGCTACTGGCAGTAAAATATGAGCTTGTCAATTGAAAAAGCTTCTGCAGTCCTTGAACACTGGATTTCAAATAATCAGAGCTGAATAGAACTTGTCTTCCCAGGGAATATGTTGAATAATTGTCTGCTTTTGGTAGAAACCAATGATCTAGAGCCTTGATTTTCAGGGAAGACAGCGTGCATTAGAATTTGAGCTTTAGCTGCTAATAAAGCACTTATTTCTTCTTTAATTTAAAATTCATCTCAACACTTCACTGTGATTTTTACCTGTGCGTTTTGTTTTTAAATAATTCCTTCCTAAGCTTGATCATACATCCATTTAGACATCTTTTTCTTGTAAATAATGATGGGGTTTGCCCACAGTGCATTGAAACAAAATAATATACTGTACTTTAGTTTTGTGCCTATCTTTTTTTGTCTTTAATAAGGAGTTATTGGCAGCTTTTATGAGGTGTGTAATTCGAAACTGTAGCTGAAGAGGCTTGAAAAACATATAGCTGCTGGAATCAAAAGAGCCTTCTTATTGACTGTGGAGTGGGGGAACTATCCCTTTTTGATTATGTTGACACTTTTAGTCACTAGTGGCACTTACCAGTTAATATTATTTAGTCTGGGAGCAACTATCAACTGTGTTTGAAATCATATTTGTGTAACACTTGTAAGCAAAGTAGGCAAAATGCCAAGTATATCCCCTTAATATATGTGTAGTATAGCTGTAGTAGATCCGAGTGAGTGATCAGGAGGGTGACACATTAACCTTTGAATATGCAGACACTTGATTGATAACAGTGGGCTTTCTATCACACAGAGAAGTATTTAGTCTTCCTGTAGGCTCAACAAAATGGGATTTGGTCAGCAGCAAAACAATATGTGAGTGTCAGAAACACAAAGGCCAAAATGCATGTCGGGAACACTGGGCGCCCTTAACGTTCTGTAAACATCTGTATGGAACAGTCCACATCAAGATGTACAAGGTCAGGACGTCATGTGCTGCACAGTGTTAACTTTATTTCTGTTGGTGAACCTTTATGCTAGATCAGGTGCTGCTTTGAGGACATTTTGTCCAGTCCCTTATAAGAATAAATTATAAATACAACTCTATTTGGACGCTAACACAAAAGATGTGAACACTTGGGGGGGGGGGGGGGTTTGGCTTTTTTTTTTCTTTTTTTTTTTCCATGTGTAAGAGTTCACAGCATAGATTGACCTCAGTTGTAGCACCATTCTTGTGCTCTTAAAAGTCAGCCGTGGGAAAGCAACCAGTGACATGATGTGCAATGCCTAAAAAAATCATACCTACAACAACCCAGCTCTATTTATGTTAGTGTACTTAAAAGAAATACTTTCTTTTGACTGTGCAGTAAGCTGTAGCATGGTACTGTGTCTTCCAAATTAGTCCTTCATCTATTTCCTAAGTAATAAACAAACAGAAACAGTTTGTTTCGCTGTAATACACTGTGTTTGACAAATGTCATATTATATTTTACTATGGTGTCATTGTATAACCTGTAGATTTCTGTATTTGCATGACCTGTATAGCATGTATAAAGGTGAAATACATTTTCATTTATGAATCTGACTTGTTTCTTAGCACTTTTTATTCCCACAACAATATGACTGATTTAAAATTACATGTGTGTTAATTTGTTCTGAGGTATTTTCTGAAGGAAGGTATACTGCTGAATGAAGGAGTGGTTGACAAAACCTCAGAATATTTCACCATTGTTCCCATTGCCATATATTAATTTGCTTTCTGAGGTGCTGCCAATACACTGGGGAAATGCAGGCTGGTGGCCAAAGAGCCTTAAGGTGAGGACTCCAAACTGTGGCATCCAGAGGGCTGGTGACAGTATAGGGCCAGTTTGCAGCCCCAGCCTCTGCTCTCTGGCAGAGAAAATACGCAAAAGAAGACTTGAGAGCTGTGGTAAGTAGACACTTCTGTTTAGTGTGCAAGAGCTGTTCTGTAAGAGTACCCATGACATAAATGCTGAACTCCAGACCAGCCTGGAGCTGCTAATAGTTCTCTAGTGAAATGCTGAGGAGATTTTTTAAAACATTTTTTTTAACCATGTCTTCAAGCTATGTGCACACACTGCTGCTTGGAAAGTGACCAGCCTGGAGCTGCTAGTAGTTCTCTAGTGAAATGCTGAGGAGATTTTTTAAAACATTTTTTTTAACCATCACTTCAGTCAAAATTGCAAATGAGACAATCTGATTTTATGATTAAGTATATTAATACTTTCCATGGTGACAATTAATTTCATTTGTATTGACTCCTGAAACGTTCAAAACATTCATGTTATTTGTCCACTCAATTATTTACTAAGATTGAAGGAAACAAGAGGAGTATTTGTGAAGAAATTGCATATTTACCTTTATATTCGCTTTCAAATGTAATTTTTCAAATTTGGCTGAATATCTGGAGTAGGTACTCTCAGCTGAGGGGTTAAATTGCTTCTTTTTTCTTTTACTGATGTAACTTCTTCATAGCAGCACCATCCCATTGTTTGTTGCTGTGAATCAAGACTGTGCAATGAGCTTTACTTTGAATTTGTCAGTGGTCTTGCAGCTGCAGCAAAGGATCACTATTGATTCACACAAGTCCTTGATAGAGCTTTTCTGCTGTTACTTTATATAACTATTAGTAAGTTTCTAATAGGTAAATAACACCTGTGGGGTAACTGGGCATCACAGTAGCTTTCTGATTAGGTTCAGCACTTTATATGGTGTTGCCCAGGGAAATGGCATCCAGAGCTTGCCTTGGACCGCAGTGGAGGCTCTGACCAGATCCCTTGTCTCCCCAGGGAGTTAATTTCAAAATAAAATTGCACCAGTGAGGGGTGGATCTGGACCCCCAGGCTGTATTTTCAGCTGGTGATGAACAGCTAGAAGCAGGGGGCATCATCATTTCTCCTTTAATTGTACAAATGAGATGTGTGCAGAAAGCTGCAGAAATAGCACAGATTCCTACTCTGGCTGGCAGGGTGGGGATCTTCCCCCTTTCATAAAAAGAGCAGCACCTTTCCCTGCTTCCCACCCCACCTCAGTCCCATCTTGACAGCAACTACAGCTCAGGTGTCCCTGCCACCACCCCACTCCTGTTCCAGGCATTGTCAGTGTGGCACTGCAGCTTTTCTACTGGCCAAGGTGACACAGTGGCTTTCAGCATTGATCATGCTGTTTGGAGAAGCCTGAGATCCCAGGATAACTGGGCTTCAGTGCAGCACAGCAACCTGGAAACCCTAGAGGAAGACATCCTTCTCATTAAGGTTTAAACTGTATTAAAATGTAGGTAGTTCAGTGTTCAAGAGCTGAAATCTAGACTCTGAGGTTTGTATCTTGTTTTCTCTAAGCCTGGCCTGTGTCCTGCACAAGAGGGAGACTGTGCTGTAAGCGGCACAAACGAATCAGTGGTAATATACTGCTCCTTTTCCAGATTTGTGACCTGTGGGACTTCTGCCTTACTTCTCTCTTCTCCCTCCCCTGTAAGCGGCACGAATCAGTGGCAATATACTGCTCCTTTTCCAGATTTGTGACCTGTGGGACTTCTGCCTTACTTCTCTCTTCTCCCTCCCTGTTCAGGAGCAAGATGGGAACTGAAAAAGTCTCTTCATTGGCTTTCGTTTCACATAATGTTGTTCAGGCTGTTGGTTGCCTCCAAAACCAGCGTGGAGAGTGGTGGTTCACCTATGCTGCCACTGTTCATGGGTGCACAAAGCGACATAAAGGGGCAGTGTCAGGTATCTGACATTGGGGATGGATGTTGATTTTCAATATCAATATTAAATTCTGAAAAGTGTATTATTACTGCTGAGCCACAATGCTAAACTCTGGAAAATATATTGTATGTTATGACTGAATGCAATTTTCTCTGGATTTTCTTTTTAATCTTCAGGAAAGCAGGATTTAAATTCAATCTCTCCAGAATACATACACTTAAAAATAACAGAAAACTTTAAATATTCAGATATATTTTTGTTATTGCTGTTAGTGCAATAATGCCAGTCCAGAACACAGTGAGCCAGAATGTTCATTTCTCCCCCAGTTTTTTATCCCATCAATCATTTATCATATCCTTACGATGTCCTACAGCTGAAGAGTAGGTGATGCTGTTCACTCCAATTTAACATGTCTGTTAAAGCATGTGAAGTGGAAAAGTCCTAAAACTGCAGGCAGAAACTCTTAGAGAAATTATATTTAAGCTTTTAAAAACGATTACCTAAAGTATAAGAAAATGGTTTCTTGATCACCAGAATTTTAGATAATTGTTTTCTTCCCAGCAGACTTGTTTGCTCTGCAGCTTGTATATGTTTTATAGCATTTTGATTATTCAAGACTGAGCTTAGTAATGTTTTTAATCTAGTAGGTTTGATGATAACCTGAGGCCTGCAATTTTCAGGATCAAAATAGAGGCTCTGGAAGATAGCATGTCATGTTCACTTGGGAGCTTTACAAAAATAGATGTGTATCCTTGCTATAATCAAGCCTTAATGATTTCCAGAGAAAAACTAACTATGATACAGGAGAGATCCAAGGAATAGAAGGAGCAATAAGCAATGAACTGTGTGTTCCAGGATCAGGAAGTTCTTTCTCTAAGTTTTTTAAATAGTTACATTAATAGCTTAAACCAGCAGCTTTGCTTATCACTTTAGATCTTGCTGTGCCCACAAGAATAACTTGAAGTCCACTGCAATTGTAGGTTATTGACATTGTACAATAATGGACCCAAGGGACATAAAATTGCATAACTGAAGAAAAAAAATAATGTATGGAAGAGATATTCAGAATCTGGGAAATTACTCTGTCTGTATCTTTTTTTTTTTTTTTTTTTTCCCCTAGGAATAAAAGCTTCTCTCACCAAATTCAGTGAGAGCACAGTAAGCAGGATCAGGGCAATACCTGTAACCCCGTGTAAACATGCACACACATCCCTTTTCAGAGTAACCTCTCTTGAAATACAGATGGCAGTATTGTCTGGAATATCATTTTTAGCACCTTAAATATGCTAAGCTGTGGGGGTTTATACCACCAAATTCTGTGGAGTAACTTCTAATTTTCCTGGTGTGAAATCTCAATCAGGAATAATTTTCACTTTTTTTTTTCTCTCCTTAGACCTCTTACCAGTTTAAATACAGAAATTCAAACGAATACAAATTCTGG